TTAGTCGTTTTTAAAGAAATGCATGGAGTCATCTTATACAGTACAGACAAAAAATCAAATGAGAAACGAAATTCTAATCAGTTGAGACGGGAATGACAATAAGATAAAAGCATTCTTATTATAGAATATTCTTTATTCAGTGCATTAGTGTCAATAAAGATACGACGTTAATTCTTTGTAATTTTCCTATTACTGAACAATGTTCGATATGAAAAGAATATTTTCGTGAAATCCTCCGTCATTCTCGTTTTCCTGGACGAGCAACCCTCTCGCAGGCTTTTCATCTCGTTCAGGTTCCAAAACGAAAAAAAATCCATACAACGCAGCGCGGACGTTTTCTCCACAGCCCAGACCCGGTGACATAATACGCGTTGCTATAGAGAAGAATCGCCGAATTACTCGACCGCGTACGCACACAGCCGCGCGCAGTATTTGTGTATACGGACGAGTGAACGCGAAATCAGCACCGGTGTCACGTCACGTGCACGCACACCAACTCGCACGAATGCGCTCCTCTGCGAATGCGCGTGCGTCCCGTGGGCTGCGTGTGCGCTGCAGCGCGCTACGCTCGCTCACCTCTATCGCCCCGTGTGCACACGCCCGTGTTGCAACGCGCGTGTGCGTGCACGTTTGTGTGCGTGGCCAGGGGCGCGCGTGCGACTCCGCAGCGACCTTGAGCCCCCTCGGTCCTCCCGCGGGCAATCTTTCCCCTACTCCATCCCTTATCCACCTCTTCCTCTTCCCTCTACGCGTGCAATATCTCTCTCCTTTATCTTGCCACTGCCGCAATTGCTTTTATCTTTCTCGCGTTTTGTCTATCTCTCTTTATCTCTCCCTTTCGCTTTCCTTTGGTCTCTATGTGGCACGTACCTAGCGATGGACTCGAGACGCGTTTAATGAATAGGGCCGATTGCGTTTTGGATTAAATGGGGGCGAATCGAACGTCGGTTCCCCTTACGAGTGGATTGCGTGATTTAAGAGATAGTAGCGTGTGAAATTTGTAGCGTATCAATGATGATTAGAAGCTAATTCTATTACTATAAAAACTACTGTTGAATGAATTTTAGACCCATTTCCTGCTTTCAAAATTTTAAATCAGCCAGTAGTATGGGCCTTTCGGAAGATCATCTTTCTTAGCACACTTGTTGTAACTGAATTTACATTCTGCATAAGAAGAGTGTGTACTACACGATTTCGTACTGTTGCAATGTTGCTTGAAAGTCTATGGCCATCGCTAAGCGCCACGGCAATGATGCCTCAAGTCTCGAGCTGCTGAATTTCCATCTACCATCTCTCTCGTTCACCCCACTCGATCTCGTACCCGCACCGTACCCCTTCCCTTCATTATTCTCTGCTGTTGCGTTCATCTTCGTCCCTCCCGATGGTTTCTCCCCCTCTCGGCTGCCCACGACTCCTACGCTCTTTCTCCTTTTCTCTTCTAGCAATCGCAAGGCTTCTAGCCGCTAGCCTCTCGCACGCACGTAAGGTCGGAACAGGGAGTGCACATTACATTTTGGCGGATCAGGAACGTACACATGTTGTACGACGGTATCACCCTTGGCCGTGGAAGTTCACAACTTATATCCTGCTGTATCAAAAACGGGTGTTAGATTAGGCTCTTCGATATACTTGACGATATTTTATTGTCACCTTAGACAGGAGCTTTAAATAATCCTATGCTCAATAATTCATTTTTATGCATACGTCAAAATATTGATTGTTAGTGCATTTTATAATATGCTAAGGCTCTTTCTAATGTATCATTCGTAGCGACTGACGCTGTATACCTGTCTGACCTGTGCTGACATATTCTACTTAACAGTTCCCCCTGCATTACTTTAGCATTTAAGATAGATTAGGAGTACAATTAGACTATAATGTTATAGTAATAATTCGAAATGGAGTTAGAAAATGAAATGTGAATTATTTTTATTAAAAGCTAATTAGAAAGTCGCGGTGACAACGATTTCAGAGAAAGCGACAGAGCTTGAATCGTGGAGATTGTTTATTTGTATTAAAATCAAGAATAACAAGAACTGATCATTTCGTTTTGATTCACTCTACTTATAATTAGTGTCACAAATTAACATAATTATAAGTAATTAAAAAAACTTTATATGTACATGCATATATAACTTATTGTTAGATCTACAAATGGGTATTAAATTTTTATCAGCGAAGCGGACAAAAAATTAAAAATCGTGTTCCTTACTTTTTACTTTGTGATTCCGATAATAGGTTTCAATTTTTCTTTGCGCATTATCTAGTACAGAAAGCCTTCTAACATTTTAAAGAAAATTAAGTTGTTTGATTCACTATTAAAAATTTATTTCGTTTTGAAATGTCTGTGAATATTAATGTGACCTACTGTAGTTGCACGCGCGAGTGGAGTATTCTCACGAAGTATTACGAAGCGCAATTGCAACTTTATCAAGAATCATGAGTAACTGCTTGGTAATTCTTATTTAAGGTCGAGATCGGTCGTATTACGTAAGAATAGCGGGCACACGTGCTCGTTCAAGAACCCCGCGCACGTTTACTTGTTCATTGAACTTCTTGCGTACTTAACCGGTGTTTGGTTCTTAAGCTTTGACAAAGCCCAAGATAACCAGAATGAGGGGCAAAAATAGATCAACACATTTTTTAGAAAATGAGCGATCATATACATATGGATGATTAATTTGAAAGATATGCTTGAATACTTTAGGGGTGCAACGATGTCCATACATTATTTTACCAATTGATGTAAATTCGATGTCGGATCGTAAGGAAATGGGTAGTCCTATAATTTTCACACGACGTGAAAAGTTAACAAGTACCTCGAAAATGGAAATCGATGCGCTTCATTTTCGTAAACAGTCGAAAACTGCTGAGTGACGCGATCATTTCGTAACCTTCGGATGTGAATAACGGGCTATTCAAAGACGTTTGGGATAGGTATACTAACGCCCAGTGACGATATCGTAAAACTATGGAATTCATTGGTCATTGGGAAGAACTTTTACGCGTGGTCTGATATTGATTCACCTATCAAGAGCGTAAAATGGAGCGTTGAAAATGATTCCGTTTTATACATTCTTCGTTAATGAAGAACGGAATTATTCTTCTGTAAGACTTCGGAGAATAATAAGTTGAAAATAACGAATGCATTCATCGACATTATATGCGTCGTGCCGCGACCGATTGAACTTTACGAACCGGCAATGACGTAGACGCTCGTGGCCTGTGGCAACATAGTCGACCGTGCAGCTGTGAAACTTTCGTTCTTGACGAGTGGCGCCACGTATCCGCGTTTCGACCCTGGCACGTGTTAGATTAGAAACTGGCGGGGATGTGAGATACCTTACGAGCGTTAGAGGGGATACACGAAATCGTGAAAGAATGACAAGGAAACAAAAGCCGGGTGGAGAGAAGAGCCTACGGAAAAGAGGCGAGGAGACCGCGGAACTAGCATTCGCAGGGTAGAAAGAGAAACGCGTTGCGCAGCGAGGAGATAGGAGAGAAGGGAGTACGGTACACCGCGCGAACTGAATTTCTAGCCTTAAGCAATCTCGCCCCACCCTCGCCGAAAAAGTCGAATCTCACTCCTTCCTCCTCCTCTACTTTGTCCGTTTCTCCACCAAACAGTCCCCTCTTCTCCCACCTACATGACCTTCCTTCTCTTTTCCTCCGTCGTGTACCGCCACCCGGTCCCCCGAAAACACACCGAACTCACACTATGTATTTCGTCTAACCGCATTTGCATCGGCACCGATGACCCATATTCGCGTCCTTTCCTCCGCGACACCACAACACCATCGGCCGGGGTCCCAGATTCTCCGTCTCTCTCCTCTACTTCTACCATTCAGTTACTTCTCATTGTACCTACCTATATTCACTCGCTTACGCGATCACCTTCCCGCGCGCGTACGCATTGCCGCGGCTATCTGTTCCTCTACTACTCGCTACCACGGAGCGGAACCGAGACGAAGAGCGGGCCACGCGCGCGAGAGCGATGAGGAAAGAGCGCGCGGCACTCCGTCCGAGAGATAGAGACGACTGGTAACGGACAGTTACGCGTGATCGTTCCTCGTCCCGTTGTGCCGATGCGCAATGCAAGTCAGTGACTCGATTTTGGCCGGTTAAAACGTAGAGGACTCGGGCTAGTCAGTGAGTACGTGGCCAGTGTTCGGATACCGGGATTACCGAGAATACCACGATTTACTCATTTTTCCTCGTTCCTCGAACGTTTCTCACTATCCGTGGTTAAGCAAAGGGCGCACCATTTTGAGTCACCGCGTGACACCGGGAACACGTTCGGAAGATCATGTGTCGCGTGGACACGTGTGACGCGAGATCGGAGCGGAGAGCAGACTCCTGTTGTTGCTCCGTTGAGTGAGTTCCAAGGACGATCTCGATAATCGGTTCGATAAGGGTAAACGTTCACGGTATACATAGTGTGTTCCATTATAAGGGTGTTCGCGAATTACGGAAACGTGTACCGTTTATCGCGAGTGGTACCCGATCATCGATGCATCGGTGTTACTCTTGAGATTGCTTGAAAGTATACGCTCCTGTTTAAATACCGGTAGGTTTTACTCGAGCTCATTTTCCATATTAAATCCCAAATATAATAGATGGAAACATCTAAAATTAAAGTATCGTACAAAGTATGAGCGACTCACTTTATTAGGTCGGTTTGTCAAGCTTTGTGAATGAGACGTTGCCTTGACGGTCGTTAAAGTCTCGCACGCAAATCATAACGTTTCGCTAATCCCATGATTGCTTTTCTTTATTATTGGGATATAAGACCGTGCATATATATATTTGAGATGTTTGTTCCCACGATGGAATCAATTGACTCTTAGTTTCATTTAATAAAGAGTTAGATAGGCAACGGTAATTGCTTATCAATTATAATCCGACGTGTAAATATCGTTATAAACGTTTTGCTATTCGCAACGTGTTTCGGTGTTTCTTTAACGAATGATTTATAAAGAGAGACTCTCTTTCTGTCACAGCTGAACGAACTGTTGGACACGAGCGCGAACAAGGAAGAAAATACCTACACGAAGGTGGCAGAGACAGGGGTGGCGAAGGTCACGGGGTCGGGCCTAGGGGTGGCATCATGGACTCTCACCAGCACCAGTTTTGTCTCAAGTGGAATAGTTTCGGCAGCAATTTAGCGACAGCTTTTTCGAATTTGTTCAAAAGCGAGAGTCTCACCGATGTCACCCTATTCTGCGAGGGTAAGTTTCATTTCTTGATACCATCATATTGCTCGTCAATTAAAAAACTAAATGATATTACTACACACCATATACGAGAGATAGAAAGATGTTGTAAAGTTTCAATTACACTGAGGAGCAGTTTTGAGTCATTACTATCTAACCGATGAGCCGCGAGATTTCGAGCAGTAGCATTAAAATCACGTTACATTCGTTTATCAGTAGGTAAGAAAATACTTCGATTTTCAAAGTTGCTAAAAGGCTTGAATGTATTTTCCGTATGGAGGAAGCCTCCATGTCTGACCAAAGCGGCGCCATCACTCCTTTCGCGCAAACGCTGACTTAGGTATCCGGCTTTTCTGTACATATGCATGCATATACGTATGTATGATGCAGCCGATTTGCTTAGATTGTAGGCCGCTAGACGTGTGCAGGCGAGCTGCAGCTGTTGCGGATTGGTGCACCTCTACCCTTCCGTCACCCAATCACGGAGGGCAAGTCGCCACTCTCGCAGAGTCGGTGCCGTCGTGTACGCGAATCTTCGTCGGGTTTGCACGTCGGTGCACATGTGTGCATGCCAAACGCAAACGCCCTGCAGCGTGCGTGCGCGCAATTTCCCCCATCGTGTCTCGAATGCAACATTCTTACGGATCCGTAGCGCGAAACCGCAGCAGTTCGCGGCGAGCCGCGGTGCAATGCCTCTTCGTATGCATCGCGTAGCTCCTCGTGCTTTCTTCATCGGATCGTTGGCTGTTTCGCTCAGAACGAAGTTCTATTTGCAACGAAACGATTCGTGACATTGTCCGTTTGCACCGGCACAGAAGCTTTATCTGCGTTCGAGAGTTAGCAGAAATGTAATACTGATTCAGTGTTCATCGCCGCGCACGTGCCTCGTTCATGCAGTCGTAACTGAACAGCTTCCGGTCTAAAAATAACGCGCGGATATGTTCATTCATTACGGATTGATTGCCTCAGTGCTGCGGTATTTTTAACTTTATTGGCATTTAGTTTCTTTCGTATAAATCGAACGGTTCATTAAAGATCGAAGTACATAACGCACGAGACAAGTATAGGTAATTTGGTCTGGATAGTGCGTGAAACGAGAAGAGTTTATAATATTAAATTAAAAGCAAATGAAACAAGTTTATACGTACAATCAGGTAAGGTTGTTTTGTCAGTTTTAATATGTCTGATATTATCTAGGCAATTACAGTATTTTTACGTTTATTGCATATAGCCGACCGAACGTTTATTTCAATTTTCATAATCGTTAATTTTGTGCTAATTGCGCTAATTTTTTTTATGCACGTTATTCAATTGATTTTACGTATGTTAAAATAAATAAAACCGTTACTATTAATAATTTTGAGATAAGAAGAACAACGCGAAGGATATCATTCGATTTTTCTTATACATGTTCATCCATAAAAATTGACGCATGCAACAAGTCGCGCAAGAGACGAACGCTTTCGCGGCTCAACGATTACGGTGTCAATAAAATTCGGTATGATTTATCAGCGTCACTGATAACGATTCTATTCGTCAGCACATGGTAGTAGATATTTGCTTCTTTATCAGTTGCGTTGGATAAATAACAGTGTGCAATTTTTGTTATAAGAGCTTGGTCGAATTTTATTACGTTACTCCTGTCTTAACAATCTGATAGAAGCTTTTCCTGGATTTTTGTCGGACAGCATATCAAGTTGCATCGTCGCTGCAGTACCGTTACGAGTGCTGAATCGAATCGAAAGTTTGATATTGGTGCCAAGCTGATTTTGAATATAGAGAAGCCTAACGGCATCTCGTTAAATGCATCACGTATGGAGAAAGTTGTGACTAATCAAGGAGACAAGCTGATAAATCACTGTCCCTCGCGAAGATCGCAGAGTCGCATGTTCAATTCATTGATTAGCTGAACACGTGCTATTGAGCTATCTTTTTTTGCCACGACGCAACAATTGTCCGCGGCCTTTATGGATCAATCGAATGAGGTTCAGCTGATCGACCTTCGTCTGCTCCAAACATCGTATCTCTTTTACAGCTAGTAACAATGAAACTGAGCCAGCTCGATTAGTTTCCTCTAACAATGGCGATAAAATTCAAAACGAGTAATAAGTCTGCATCTTATTTTTCAATGCTCGATCTGGCATCGATACTGTTGGACTTTAACACAAATTTCGATGCGTCAAAATAAAAAGAATTTTAATGTAGCTGGTAATGATGTGCGTACGTTAAAATTGTTTTTTTTTGACGCGTCAAAATTATGTTAAAATCCAACAGTATCGATACCAGATCGAGCATCGAAAAAACAAGACGTATACTTATTACTCGTCTTGAATTTTGTTCCCTTAGGGGAAATTAACACAATCCCCAACTGGGTCAGGTTCATTGTTACTAGCCTTCTTGTCTACTTGTCTTTTTTCACGTGCCAAGCAATACCTATGATTATTCATACAAAACGTTAAATATTTTTCGTATGCAAGGGTTGCGGTTCTTGATCTTTCTCGACAGCTAAAGTCCACGACGCGATTCGCGATAACCCTTTGCTTGCCCCGAGAAGAGGACACTTCCGAAACGATAGTCCGAAACTTCCTCGCGTTTCTATACGACGCGATACGAATGTTTCGTTCGCGCGTGCATCGAGCGTTCCCTAATTCCACGCCGGTACCCAATCCTCCGGCATCTAACGCTTTCTCTCGTGTCTACACGCGCGGGCGCGTGTCCTGATTTCACGAAAACCGCCTGGCTGTGCCTAATGCCGCGACGCAACGGTGGAACAGTTTCTTTCGGACCCGAGGGAAGGGAAAAGTTTCCTTTCTAGTCAGCCAGGAGTACATTGCGAAGGCCGTGCAAGGAATATCGGGCTCGTCTTGCCGGGGAAGACGGCCGAAAGTCGACGGAAAGCCGTGTGCTCCATTCCACTCTACGCGGAGAAACAGGGAGAGTAACTCGATGCTTTGTCGTCCGGAGAGTGGTCTTTCTGTTCGTTAAGTTAGAAGAGGGTGAGAGCCTAAAAGGAAGGTCGGTAGGTGGGAAGGGTTCAAGGACGACGAAGTTTGGTAGAGGAAAGGGAGCATATTGCCCCAAAAGAGCTAGGAGGTGATCGTGCGGTTGAGCAACGCGTGCACATACATATGTATGTATATATACGCATGCGTGTGCTGTGTGAGAGAACATCGCTATGCGCGCTTTATGTGTAATCGTTCGAAGGCCCAAAGGAAGCCGAAAGTAGGCCTGGGTTACAGTTAGATCTAACAGTCTTCCTCACGGTCTTCCTCGGCCTCGGGTATAGAGTATATAGGCGATGCACACATCGATTCAAACGTATCGGCACGTGGTATACGCAATGGCACGCACGGCTACGCCTGCGTGGGACGTTGCGTATCTCGCGAGTAACTCGAGGAGGAATTTCAGAACGAGGTTGAAATCGTACTTATGCACAGGGATGACTTTAGTGATTCGGTTTGAATGAAAATACATCTCTTTAAAGATTTCTCTTTTCGTAAGTTAACGATAGGAAGAATATGCTCTGTCTGAACGATCATGAAAATTACGTAGACAATAACATTATCTTATACACTGGAGTAGTAAATCGGAGAAACATCGCGGATCAAAGAAAAGGACACACGAAGCGCATTAATTTTTGTAATGCTCGTATCGGTACACACTCTGATTCAGTGTCGGGAGTTGCATAACGTATGAAGGCAAATGATAACGTTCGAACACGTAAATCTTTCGCCGCAAGAAATGTGTCACGCACGAAGTAGAAACACGTGTATGCGCGATACGAAAATATTCGAGTTAAATTCGTGGAGGAAAACGAATTACGTACGAATCGGGATTCACGAGTGTGTTATCACCGATCCGAGATGAGAGCGCGCGTTTGTGAGCGAGGCGTGCGCTGGCGCGCGAACACGCACACACTCTTATGCGCGGCGTACGAGATTAAACGGACTGTGCAAGCGACACGTGGAACGTTAGACGGGTAGAAAATACTCGTACACCGTTCGGGTCGAGCGGAACTGTCCCGGACAGGCTGTCGTTAGATGCGAAAGGCGGCTTCTTGTGTCGTCGTCGCCGCGCTTAAAATTCATTTGAATGTGACCCAAATAATTGCACCGTATTTGCATGTATAACGCGTGCGTTCTACGAATACATACAGCCGTTAGTTTTTTTTCAGGGTTTCCATCAAATCATCGACGGAGTTTTAAACGACGATATTTTACCGGCATTGATCGATCGATATTAATTCAGCGACAATGTTTACATTTACATCGACATTTGTTTCACAGAATATGCTTTCACCAACACTGAACTCTACAATGCTGGTGAATTAATATTGCCGGCGAAATCAATGTCGGTCAAATGCTGTAGATTAACACATTGTCGGCGATTCGATACAAAACCGTTTTTTGAGTTGTTTATATGACAGAATCTTTTTGCTCGGAGAGATTGTCAGTGGCAGAGATACTTATATCAGTGTCAAATATTTCTATCGCGTTATTTTTATTATGCGTTTTGAATCATAAAACGAGGTCACGGTAGAATTTTATACACGATAATAGGATGAATGCGAATTGCAAATAATTACCAAATCTAAACAGAATAATTTTTTCAATATTGAATCCTCCAATTTAATTTTTCTTTGGATATTTGGAGACTTGGGTAATGTATAGAAAAGAATTGCACAGAAGAGAAATATTTCACTCTTGAGATTATTCCGCGGCATAAAATAAATATCAGTCTAGCTTGTACGAAACGATTTGGTGGGATCATGATATGAATTGTTGTGGTCGCTACGTTTATCTATTAAGATCAATCGTTGTTATTGGGTCACTGTGTTCAATGCAGCATGATAACGCGTGAACGAGCATAGTTCCAACTGGCATTTTGTATCTGGGTGAAACTAAAAGGGTCGACACCATAAAGCAGAAAATTAGATCGCGTTTGCCGGTTGTACGTGTTGTAACTCGGACGCGGAAACATGCATAGATGCGCGACCGCTATGCGTGGTTGCTTGT